GTGGCCGTCGGCACGACCATGGAGGAACTCGGAGCGACCTCGGCTGTCGTCGGCACGACCATGGAGGAACTCATCGTGGCCCAATGCGCTTAGCAGGCTAGATGCACCAAAGAAGTTGACGCCAATCTATGGCCACTACTCCAGAGAGAGTGCCTACTACAGCTGCACCAAAGAAGTGTTGACACCAAAGAGAAAGCTACATATTGGATAAACTTGTTTGGACTTAAATTATAGATTTGTGAGATGAACTCATTTAGGCTCAATTTATGCATGTGTCAGATGAACTCATTTATACTCAGCTTATGGATCCGAATAAATATTAACAAAGGAACTAAATAGGGATTATGACAACAAAATCTTTTGCGAAGCCCATTGTTTGCAATGGCAAATAGCCAATTTTCGCATCAAAGAACAGGCAGTAAGCTTTACCCACCTGACCCTTACTAAAGAAACCGTTGATGATGGTGTTGTATGACACCACATTTGGTGAGCAGCTACTACCTTGACCATCGGGCATCATGTGGAGCAGCCCAAGTGCCTCATCAACTCTCTTTTCATTGCAGAAACCCTTGAGGACTGTGTTGTATGAAACTACAACTGGGGTGAAGCCAAACTTTGGCATTCTTCGGAGCAATAGGTCTATGGCCTCACCCACCCTCTTGGCGTCACAGATGCCCTTGAGCAGTTGATTGATGACTGTTTCACCCTCCAGCCCGTCTTAAGGATGAGGTCAAAGGTGGCAAAGCCATTCTCTAGGTGGCCCATGCGGCAGAAGCAGTCGATGAGGATGTTGTAGGTGTAAAGTTTAGGAGCCACCATGATGGAGCAGTCACGTATCATCCGGTTGAAGAGGGAGACGACGAGCCCAGACTCAGAGGTGGAGGAGCGCCGGCCCGAGGCACGGGACACAGCGGTGAGCAGCTAGTTGAAGGCGGTAACCGAGGCAGCCCTGGCGTAGGGAAGCAATTCATCGAACAGCTTGAGCGCGTCGTCGAGGCGGAGGCTTACCGAGCGGGCGCGGCTGACGACAACGCGCTCTAGCTCCAAACATCGGTCGCGTGGTGCCCACGCGATGGCGCATGCCAACAGAGTGCGGCTGATGGGGCTAATAGCCCGGCGAGGAGAGGCACGGGTTGGGTGGGCGGCGCTGGCGCTGCGTCCGCCTCCGGATCAGTGAAGCGAGCAGAGCACTCACGTGAGCTGGTCGGAGCTGCATGTGTTGTGTCCTCGTCCTTGGCTGTGTGAGGGTATGAGTATATGAGCTGGTGGGCGGCGGCGGGTGCAGGTTCTGCACTGTTACTGGGATCTCACCTCCGGCCTATTCGGATCAGCACCTGCTGCAGTTGCGGTCTTCTTTTTTTCCCCTATATATCACCTGCAGTTGCAGGATCTCGCCTCGAACCTGTTCGGATAAGCAATTCTGTTGTTTTCTCTACTAATATAAACATATATAATGTGTTATATTTCTTGGCTGCTCTGGATGAAGTCAGTAATAAATAGCCTCCCGCATGTTAAGCCACTAAGCCAGGAGACTTTGTATGTCTCTATGGGCTTATAAGCCTTCTATTGGAGTGTGTTCTATGTTGATGTCCCTGTTCATCCTCTGCAGAGAGAAAAATATTTGCTAGGAAAATATTTTCATCCGTGTGTTCTCTTTGTAGCAGAAGATGGGCAGCCATGGGCAGGAGACGTGGCTTGGGAGATGCGCACATTGCTCCCACCAGTTCAGACTTCAAGTTCAGTATTCAGTTGGATATTTATAGTTCAGTATTCAGAGTTCAGCATTGCTCATTTGATCACTTTTGCCATCTCGACTTCACTTGCTGCTGCTGCTAGTTAATCACAAATTCAACACTGCCGTTAATCATCGATTAGCTAGTTTGGCATTCACTTTCAATTTACAATTCTTCAGTTCAGCTTTCAAAGAAAAAAAATCTTTAGTTTGCATGCTAAATTAGAGGAGGGTGATCAGGTAGGTATTACTAAAGCATCTTGTTAAGTTGTTATAGACCTAGCATGATGATGCACACAAAAAAATAAAGTTCTATTTAACTTCTAAGCACCGACATGGTTAGACCCTTCGTCTTTGTTGCTTTTTTTTATGTTGGCTGTTGTTGCTATTGTCACCACGGTCATCTCCCCTGTCCGCCACACGCACGGTCAGTTGGGAGGAGGCGAGCAGGAAGGACTGGGCCACGAGCAATGTGTGGAATTGCCAAATTGCGAGCCCAAAAGGCCCAAGTGACCGAACAGAGCAATAACAAGCGTTTAGTTCCACCTCGGCGGCTTTGGGCGAGCGGAGACGGAGGAAGGCTATAAAAGGAGACCCAGGTTACCTGGGCAACTCATACCTTTCTCATCCTTTTGGCTAAGATCAACTGTAGTGTCAGTTTAATATCTGATACTTGGGCTATGTGCCTACTTTAATCTTGCCACTGGGGCCCTCGCGTGTCCTTGGTCGTTGCACTATAGCCCGAGCCTGGCGCACCCCAACCAATACCGAATAAAATTTTGTTGGGCTTTGTCTTCGGCCCTAGTTTAAGCATTGGAGGCCCAATCTTTATCAAAGTTCACCAAAAAAAAAACAATTGGGTCGTTGTGATCCTAATGATGGGATCTGTATCGTCCTTAAGCCAGCTAGAAGTGTGAGCCAAATATGCTGCTGTGCATTTTCAATTTGAAACCAGTTCCAAATTTGTATGAAATTGGGGGAAGTTTTTCGTTCTTCTCTAACTTAGCATGTTTCTACTTACTCATGCAAATCCAGATATATACTAATGTCTTCGGCTTTGCACCGAAGCTGCAGGCTGTGCCAAAGGCCAAGGACAAATAAGAACAACACTGCAACTGTCCAAAGGGCTGCTCTTAAGATTCAGGATGAAGTTCCCCTAAAAAAATGATTCAGGATGACGAAACAAAAAAAAATGTGATGAAGGATAACGATCTCATGTCACCACACTATTGGACCATAGAAAATTTCATAAAACAACTTCCTTCTTCAGCAGAGATAATCTTTTCATTGAAAATACACAGGACTGTGTCTGATTTCAGATTTAAGAAACGTAAAATAATATAAATCACATGCATTTTATGATTTTAACACAGAGAAGACTTTTCATAGGTGTGCCACACTTTTACTGAATAGAGGATGTTATGGGCACACTAATGAAGCCATTTCTTCCCTGTAAGATAATGTATGAACAAGAGGCCACCAATTGCTTCATCAACGGACTCCCGTCAACAGGTTAACAAGACAACAATGAAATCCAGACGTAGTAGGTGCTGGACTCTAATTAGTTCATCGACGGAACGCATCCGATATGAGTTAGAATAGATCAGACTTCTAAAACATAAACTTGGTGGAGCAGTAGCAAACAACATTGCCTGCACAAGTGCAGGAGTGTCCTGTCACAAAAAAAAAAGGTGCAAGTGTGCCAAAGATATACGACAGAAAGAACAATATCCTCCTCCTGTATTGGGCCAGTGCGAGCTTTTTTTTTCAGTGTGGGGGTGTAGGTGTTCGGCAATGTATACAATACATGAAAGAAGAAACATAAAAGGTACCATTCTGTCATATGATGCTAAAAGAAACCTGCGCAGTAGAGGCAGATTCACCACCATTCTTAGGATCTGCCTAACTGACAGTACGAGTATTTATATTTATTTTGAATTACGGAGTAGACATCTTCTGCTTAGTATACTCTACGCATGCCTGCTTGTAGTATTCGATAAAGCCGTAACTCTTGCCATCTGAAGTTGTACATCTTAAAAAAGGTGCCATTCAGTATCACTGCCTCAGTCTCCTATCAGGTGTCAGTGGAAGCAATCGTTTCTAATCTACTCACTCCGTCTTAAAATAATCATACATCTTCCTCCATGAAGTCAAACTTTTAAACTCTAAATAAGGTATATAAAAATAGTATTAATATTTATATTTTTATTTAAAGTATATTCCACGATCAATCTAATAATACCTATTACACATCACAATTATTGTTATCTTTTTATATATTTGGTTAAACTTTTAAACATTTGACTTCTTGAAAAAGCGATAAGCGCTTATTTTGGAACTGAGGAAGTATCTTCCGTGAAGGGCGGGTCTGGTGCAAGTGGTAGGGCGGGCCTGGTGTAAGCGGTAGAGTCTTACCGCCTCCTCGCATTGCACAGACGAGGATAAAGTTTGTCACTAACACCCTTCTCCAGACCCCGCACAGAGCGGAAGCTCTCTGCACTGGATACGCCCTTTTTAGGAAGTATCTTCTGTCAGCTGACCTCCCAAAGTCAAAGTCTCATCTCACTGTTAACAACATGACTTCTCTCTAAAATAGACTCAAGACGAGCGAGGCCAGTCGAGATAAACTCTAAATAGTTAGTGGAAGCAGTGTATTTTGTTCAGGAAAAGCGAAAGCTGCACGATTGGCAGTAGAACTTCTACTCTGTCAAGTTCTCAGCTGTACTGTACATGAGGTACAGGACAAGTGCTGACAAATAAGCAGATCGCTGTAGATTAAACAATTTATTCGCGGTAACGACACTGTAAATATTACCGACTCATTTCAATGGTAAAATAAAATGTACCTTTCTAATACTTCTATTGCCAACTTCACTAGTTCAAACAATACAACAAAATCTCAATTCACATGATAGAACAGATTGTTCTATGTCCCTGTAACCACACCAAACTGTCTGAGCAAAACTTACACCTCTTCAAATTACAGCCAAAGGACGGGGGCAATCAATCTAAAACAAACCCACCAAAACCTCAAAAGAATAAAAGAAAGTTAAAGAAAACGCATTCACAAAAGGTCTACATCAAAACTTTGTATGTTGAATATGTGAAGTATATGCACAGTGGCAAGCCCGTGAAACTCAACAATAGCGCTCCATCAATGCTTGCTAGCTCGGTAGCTCCTTCAAACTTCAGCCAAGGAGCATTTTTGTCTCAAATTCATCTCTGATGACATTCTATCGTTTCCTTTCAGCAGTCAATCCGGTGGTATTTATTGATGTTCACTTTCCTCTTCTCTTTCATGAGAAACCTCTAACTCCACTGCCTGTGCAGTACTCTTGGCACAACTATGGAAGACCTTATTGGATGCTGCATCAATGTCATCGTGACTCTCTGCTTCACTAGTGCTCATATTGCTTGTACCCTCCACTGGTAAAGCCTCCCTAGCATCTCCTAGGTTGTGCTGACTTTCGTTATGTATTGCTTCAGTAAGTTCATCAGCCTTCGTGGATTCTGCAGTCTCTACATGCCCATACTTGTCTTCATTTTCTTCGAAGCAACTATTCACAATAGCATCAAAGTGCTTCTGGAAAGCAGCATGCATGTCGTCCACAGATTTTGCATCAATGACATGCAGCTCTCCAGCAGCCCCTTTGGGATCTGCAGCATCAGCACCTGAGATCTGCAAAGCTTCAGTATCCATGGTGGCCTCAGAAACCACACCATCACTAACTAGCTTAAAGGCAGTCTCAATATCCTCCAGAGACTTTGCATCTAGAACAGTAATCTCAGGATCGGTTGTAGATGTCACTAACCCATTTATAGTGACCTCTGGCTCACTTGATCCAGCTGCTAAGGTTGCTGGTGATGGTGTATCATCAGCAGGCACTTCTGACTCATCGTGTGGTGGCTTCAACTCCATGTTCATTGCTTCAAAGGGGCTTGCTTCGAGAATCCGTCTCCGAGGATTGTAGACAGTCTGCTCAGGGTCATCATGAGATGCTCCAAATGACCAGCCAAATTCAGGGCCATTTAGGTCATCAACCAATGAGGACTGCTCCCTGGAGTCTTCAGCACCAACTTCTGACATGGTCAAGGAGACGTTGTCAGATGTCTGAGGGCTAATAACGGAATCTGCAGCAACACTATTGGTATGGATATCATCATGGGAAGCCTGATCTGTCACCTGCTGGTCCAGTCTCATCGGTTCAACTCCAAAGTCTCCCACTGCATCTAATTCCGACAGGAAACTTTCATCAATTCCACTGCCCTCCATAGGCTCAGGATAGATTTTATCAGCCTCGTCATCAGAATCAAGTATATATCCTGCAGTTGCTTCGCCATACATGTCACTTATATCCACCTTCTTAGGTTCAGCAGCCATCAAAACAAAGGGATTCAAGATTTCTTCATGTTCACTTGATGGAGATTGGATGACATCATTAGCTTGAGGATACGAGGAAACAACTTCAGAGCTCAGAGTTCCATCAGATCCAACATCAAAGTGCTGTTCGATTACATGGCCAGTCAAGGCAGCAGCTGAATCAGTAAAAATTGCTGTTTCATGCTTTTCTTGCATGTTGAAGTTCTCAACAACTCTCTCCTCTGGGATAGGGTGTAGGTCCCGGATATGACCGGCAATGTTTCCGTGACAAATTCAGAAGGCACCTCCATGGACCCATGAATCAGGTTATCTAATGGCATTTCATTGTTTGAATAGGACATGAGATCAACATTTCCACCTTTCTCAGCTGTATTGCTTGCACCAAGTACAACTGTGTTTGAGCTTGATGCAACTTCAGTGTCAAGGTACTCTGGAAGGTCCCCAGAATGAGATTCACCCTCCACAGGTGGCCTGGAGGACGAAACCCATTCTGAGCATTTAACTTCTGTGTTAAGTTGGAAAGAAGGTTTAGCACCAAGGCTGTTGCTACCTGTATGATGGGACATGGTTCTAATGAATCTGTGAAAACAAGTACACCATCCGTTCCAATTTATAGGTCGTTTTGGCTTTTTCTAGATACACAACTTTTATTATGTATCTAGATGTATCGTATATCTAGGTGCATAGCAAAAGCTATGTATCTAGAAAAGCCAAAACGACCTACAATTTGGGACAGAGAGTGGTATTAAGCAATCAAACGAAGTGGTCATATACATCAAACTTGCTTACCATCTCCATCTTCCCAGCTAAGCAAGTCAGGAACTGCATGAAATGGCATCGTGGAACTCCCAGCTGACTTGGGCGTATAATCTTCTTCATGACCTTTTCCTTTAGTTGAAGCAAGATGTGCTTCCCTTTCTTGCGATCTTTCAAAGACAAAGTGCTGTAGAGCAATCTCACGGTCATCAATGTCACTGTTGTCTTGTTCAACATCTATGGAGTTGATACCATCTGAGCATTCACTTCCAACATCTGCAAGGTCCTTTTCATCATGGTCCTTGTGATCCTCTTGATCAGCAACTGAAGAAGCGATATCAGATTCAGTAACAGAGCTCATTTTAGACTCACTCTTATCACTGAACTGTCTTTGGAAATTGCTTGCATTCCATTCCACAGTTTCAGCGACAAAATATGGCTTGAGTCTAGAAAAACGCTTCTCCTGGATCGCATCTATCCTTCCAAAGTTAAAGCTTTCATGCCTTCTGAAGATCGTGTCACAACGAGGAGACATCACAGGTTCTCCAGAGTTTAAACTATCTGGGGCAGGGACGACAACGCTGTCATTGGACTGTTCAAGGGGAAGATCAAATGAGTTCTTCCGTGCATGCAGAATTGAAGGAGCTGAGCCAGGAATTGCTGCTTCTTCAGAATCATATGGAAGGTCAAAAGGGTTCCTCCTTGGCACTGCAATGAGAGGTACATGTGCACGGAAGCGTGACAAATCATCTAAACTCCTACCAGCACCATTACTATCAACGTCTGTCAGGTTGTTATCAATTTCGGACTTTATGTTCTTCCTGGATCTTCGTCTAGCCATCAAAATTTCCAATCTGCGGTTTCTTTCCATCTCAGAATACCCAAGATCCATGAGATTCTTTTCATCATCTGCTGTCCAAAGAAATGCAGCTTCCTTCCCATCATTTTTCTTCTTCCCCTCCACATTATCTTTAGCATCAATGTCATCACCCTCGTCATTACTATCATCGTCAATTTGATGATCCTCTGAGACATGAGAATCTGTGTCTGAATCATCCTTAGGAATAGGACTGGGGCGATTGGAATCAGCACCCAAAAGTGGGTCAATCTCATCAAGAACTGGACCAATGTCAGTCATGGAAGCATCAGGAGAAGAACTCTCAGCCTGATCAGAGTCAAAACCAGATGAACCATCCTGACTGCTAACTCTTGCCCATGGTGAGCCATGAGAGGAATCAAGCAAGTTGTCCTCAACAACATTGCTAGTATCAACATTAAGCTCGCCGTTCTTTTCCAATTGGTGAATAAGGACAGAAGCAGCTTGTTCGCTAGTTCCAGCAAGCTCTTCAGTTTGCTTCTCTTCAGAAATAGCTCTCTCTTTACTAGCTCCTGAATCTGCAAATACTAGATTTTCCTCCATCTCAGCATGCTTATTAACATTATCACTAGAAGAAAACAAACCAAAGGGTGCATCTTTGTCATTCAGACCACTCAGACAGGCCTCATCAAATAGGCTAGTCTGACAGTCAGCCATATCCTGAATGAAAAAAGGACCTTCCAATTGTCTTTTCTTGGTGAAGGTGATGTCCTCCCCGATCCCAGACTCTTGGCAAAGATTGACCATAGAAGGAAACGGTGTAGGTGTTCTAGGTATGTTACACCGATCACCTCTCTCATCTTCTTCATCAGCTCTCTTCAGAAGAGGGACATAATCATCAAGATCAACATGCTCGCTAGCCCTCTCTCTGAATGAAACTGTCTGTTTATTTTCCCTCTCTTTGAAGTTTGATGCATTCTCCCTAAATTCAAGCACTGAAGGTCTCTGATTTTCTTCAAAGTGGGTATCACTGGACGAATTTCCAACCTTGGAAGTTGAAACTTCTGGAGTGCCCTTGTGATCTTCACTAGCCTCAGGAAGATTAATTTCTCCATAACTCAGTAGGATTCCAAGAAGAAGAGCAGTGCATATAATTACAGGTGAAGAAGAAAGCAGGAACACAAAGAGCCTTGGTGAAGATCTGTACAATAGATAGAGCAAAACACCCAAACCGAAAAGGATAGGGTGTTCGGAAACAAATCTATAGCTTTTTCGAACGGACAACCTCAAAACTTTCTTGAAACACAGAGCAGCCTGTTTTGCTTCAAGGGCCATCGCATGTAACCCTCTTAGCCTCCAACACAAACCTACCACAATAGAGAAGAAAATAGAGAGGTTAAGCTGAGTAGAACAAAACGGCAGTGTATGGTTTAATGGGAAGATACAACAGAATTTGGAAGCTTCAGCTATGCTAATTTAATAATAAAGCTAAGTTCCACCACGAGTTAAACCAAGCTGATTCAGGGGGGTTTCTCTCAAAAAGGAAAATCAACAAAACAAAGCTAACGCAGATTAGATCAAACGACAGTAACTGCAATTAGAGCCCATGTCGTCGTAACTGCACAAGCCCAGCCTTGAATTTACAAGCTGGACTCTAGATCAGCAACAGCAGGCACTTGTCGGCGAAACCGACCAAATCTACCCCGGAATTTATAGACTCAACACCAGATCATCAGCGATGGTATACCATCATTCTAGCAATAGCTTCAGATTGTGACATCAAAACCTAATCCCCAATCCGAGGGGTAAATAAATCCGATCCTGGCACACGAACAACTACTGAGACGCCGCCACCTTCAATTCTGATCAAGCAAAGGGCGAACAGATCTTTCACCCTAACAGCTCAGCATCATGGCCCAAATCCACAGATCAGCGAAGCGAGATCATGCATCCCAGAGTCGAGCCGAAGCTCATCGAGTACAACCCCCAGTTCAAATCAGATGGTATCGTAAGGAGCGTACATACCTTTGAAAAAACTAAGCAGCAGCCCAGCAGCTGCGAGCGAGGCCTGGAGAAAACTCCAAGGAGCAGCAGCAGAAGGAGAAGAAACGGACAACGGCAGTGAACCGAAACCCTGTGGCGATATCGCGATGACAGCAACCAGGGGCAGGAAGCAACGGAGGCGAAAGCCGAGTCAAGAACAGCAAGGGAAGGGATCGCCCCCGAGGTCAAAGCCAGCAGAGCAGTGGCGTGCAGTATGCGCGAAACGTGCGCGCGTATCCGCGCGACGGGATACTAGCAGCAGAGCAGAGAGACGGACAGGACATGGTGACCAGAGCCCAGAGTAGTGGGGGGATCGGCAGTTTGGGTTTGGACCACCGCCCCGCCACTTTCGGCTGCGGTCGCGCGGCGCGTGTGGTGGAGTCGGGAGTGGGCGGTGGGCGAGGAGATATTTAACTTTACGGATGTCAGCTCTTCGTATAAGAGTCTTAAAATTACTCTTATATATTTACCATTGAAAAAATATATTTAATCCATCTCTTATCATTTTGGCTGACATGATACACCAACTCAACCTCACAGCATAGACCAGCCACGGAAAATGATATTTTTGCCCCTCGTCTGTTTCTTCTATCTATATCCCTTCTTCGTTCGAGCTACAACCCTGACAGCATAGACCGGTCACGGGAAATGACATTTTTGTCCCTCATCTGTTTCTTCTATCTATATCCCTTCTTCGCTCGAGCTCCGGCCATGACCGACGATGGAGTCCATGACGGTGGTTGATAGGACAAGGCAGTCAGGGCCACGGCCTGCAGGTCCACGGCCGCGCCCGACGCCAGCTACGAACATGGCGGCACCTAGAGCACGCGCAGGAGCATAGCCTCCTCGGCGCCGGCGACAAACATGACGGCCTCGTGCCTCCTCGTGCTCCTCTGCTTCCTCGCTGGTGGAGCACGCGCATCCCCGACCACATACGAGATGTGCCGCGTCTCTTCGTGTCGCGGTCGCTGCCGGTAACGGCGAGCCAGCTTCCCCCACCGACGATGAACATGGTGGCACCTCACCGGACCAAGAAAGCAGCTCGTGAGCGGATCACGGGGGGAGCCGTCGCCGCAAGAAATCCCTCCCAGAAGCGGCGGGCGCGGACACCGAGACCGACGACGCGACGGCCGCAAGCAGCAATGATCCGGGGACAACGATTTCGCGTCAAAAAACGGCCACAATAAAGTTGGCCATGCAGCCCATGCCACCGGCTCGCCCGCCCGCCATACAAATGGCCCGGCCCGGCGGCGGCACGCGGCGCGGCGGTGGCGGCGGGCCGGCGGGCACGCCCGAGGGCACCAGTGTCGTGCACAGCCGCCACCCGCCCGTGTACGACGGCACGGCCCGGTGCAAAGAGGCGGCCCAAAGCCCCAACGGCTTCATTTGGCCCAAAGAAGGAGGCAGCCCACGGCCAACCCACCCGCCAAGATATATAAGCCAAGCCACGCTCACGCCTCCCTCTCCATCCCTAACCCTAAGTCCCTAATCCCCATTCCTCCCCTCGCCGCGCCGTCTGCTCTCGCTCGCTGCCTCGCTCTCGCATTCGCGATCCACCACCGCCGCCGCTCTCCATCGACCATCGTCGTCCGTCCTCTCTGGCACCGGTGACCTCGCCGGCGCTCCTCCACCTCGCACTAAGCTCGCTAACCCCGTCTTCTCCCTCCTTTTCCTCTCCTGTTTCCTCTCGCTCTCGCTCGGAATCGGTGAACCATGTGAGTTCGTGTTCATGTCACTCCCTCCTCCCCCACCTCGCCGTCGATCCTAATCGGTGTTTGTCTCATCCTCTGGCTGGCTCGCTGGCTTCTTCATCTCCGGCACCGGGCTCCGGGAAAGCAGGTTCGTCACTTTCCCTAACCCTAGATCTACTCTTCTCTGCTCTGTCTCTCTCTGATCTCTGTCTCTCAAGTGTCATCTCTCACTCTTCTTCTTTGCGTGCAGGTTGGTGCCTGGCGCCGCGTCACTATGAATGTTGTCACTGATGTTGGCAGTTGGCTATTGTAATAGGATAGAACTTTTACTGCTGTGAACTCACTAAGTCACATTGTCACAATGACTTTGCCACTGATGTTGGCTATTGTAATAGAATAGAAGAACTAAGACTTTGACACTTTAGAGCTGGTTGTACTCTTTTTTTCTTTCTAGGGTTTCTCACAAGGTGAGTTTTACCTAGAAAGGTTTTTAATGAGGCAGCATTGCACAAAACAACTCATATTCATATAATGATATAATCTTGTCTTTTGTCCCTTGTCCTTGTGTTCTGAGTTGTGAGTTTGAGACTTGTGTCTTGTGAGTTTGAATTGTGATTGTGAAATGTGAATCCTATGGTTTAGAATTATGAGAATATGAGTTTTGAATTTGATGTGAATCTGGTGGTAAAATCATGTTGAAAATGATCAAGTCCTTAAAGACTTAGTTATTTTTTGCGTCGGGCTATGGGTCGGCACGGCCCGGTGAAAATGGTCGTGCCCAACGGGCGGCACGGCACGGCCAAACGGCCCACAGGCCGTGCCTTGGGCCGGAGGCCAGGCACGGCACGGCACACGGTGGCCCGGTGAGGCACGGCCCGATGGCCATCTATAGGCCACAAGAACCCCAAAACGGCCACAAGAACCCCACTGCACGGACGGAACATGTCCTAATAATAATCCAAAGATTCGCATGCCAGAAAGGAACTCGACCAGACAAAGGCAATCAATCACCAAACCGCCGCACGACCCACAAAAAAGCATCACCACCCAAGCCATGAGCTCACCTCCGAGACGATCCAGAGACGGACGCGGTGTCGCGAATCCAGGGAGCCGTGACCCGATGGCCAGAGGGAGGGCGATGGTCGTCATCGCCCATGGGATGGTAAGTCGCAAATGGCCGAAGGTGTGAAGGCGAAGAAGGGGACGAAGAAGACTGGACGCAGACAGAGTGATCGAAGACCGGAGGTTGAAAAAGAATATGACTTGTGGGCTCGTGTGTTAGCAACGGAGGAGGGAGAAGCCAGGGCAGGGGCGGTCATTTTAACTGAGCCTGCTGATTTGGATTCGAGCTGGACAACGGAGCTGGTGTGCCACGCGAGCATAAGTGGTAAATATGTATCGTTTTTCTCTCTGCTGCTAAAAACATAGCGGAGGCCACGTCCGTTATAACGGTAAAAAGTTAATTATCCCGTGGGGCGGCGGCGGCGATTGCCCTAAGAGGAGGGGAGGGCATGGGGGAGTCGAGGGAAAAGCGGCAGCCGGAGTAGCAAGCAGGCTAGCATGCTAATAGCGGCAGAAAGCCGGGGCGGAGTGGCGGGCCCCGCCGTTCCGTCTGCGCTGCGGCGTTGGCGCTTGGCCAGGGTGACGGTGACGGTTCCGTGCGGCTGACGGTGGTGGCCCCGACGCGCGGGGCCCAGATATAGTGGGAAAGGCGACGTGGGGCCCTGGTTCTGCGGCGCGCGAATGGGGCGGCGAAGGGCGAAACGCGAGCGTGGAGCGACACCACGACACGACAGTGGTGAGAATTTTCGGTGGTGTGCTGGCGCAGCTACGCTGTCGGATCGGAGGCGGGCCGCGCCGCCGCGGCCGGCACTGCGCTTCGCATCTCGCTTTCAGTCAGCTGGTGCTCCGCTGAATGCTGTGTGCTGACGGTCACAGACGAATCGGTCCGGCAAATGGGCAATGTGGCGCGTCCAGCTATGCTTAACCGAAACACATTAGTATTGTACGGCACGCTAATTTTTGTTTATTCATCTACAGCGTTACTACTGTCGTCCTGCAAGTACGGTAATAATCGTACTGTAGTCTTGAACGATCTTCATCTTAGGTTGCTTTTTCATCTTATTAGGTTGCATATCTCTCAATGGTCTGTGGCTCCGTACTTGATGACCGGTTCGGTGTTCGGCGAAAAGATAAGCTAAAAAAAAATTATTTACTGATTTGTTATAAGAGAAAAATATTATTTCTTCATCGAAAAAGTATGGCTCACGAGATAAACGAGAAGGGCCTCTGAGACTAACCCTCAACCAATGACGTGGAATATGGACATGCACTGCCGCTCTCCGTGAGTCGTGCTCGTGCCTCGTGCGACGGAAAAATAAAGGAAAAGCTGAAGCAGTGCTCAATGCTTCGATACTGCCTGCAGAGCCGTTCTTCTAGGTCGAGAACTAAGGGCGTCCCCAACGGCTGGCAGGTTTGAAGTACTTGTCCAATGACGAAGGGAGAGAACCAGAAAACTCATCTAGCTAGCGCCGACACAAGCCAGCCTCAACGGTCCCTAGGTTTAAGGGCGTCCCCAACGGCTGGCAGGTTTACTAGGGCCTTATTTAGATGACATTAAAGTTTCAAGTTTTTTTACTCTTTTTTTATCACATCAATTTTTGAACGCATGTATGGAGCATTAAATGTAGGTAAAAAAAGTAACTAATTGCACAGTTTGGTTGTAAATTATGAGACGAATCTTTTGAGCCTAGTTAGTCCATAATCAGATAAAGTTTGTCAAATACAAACGAAACATGATACAATATCCAGATTACAAAAATTTGCAATCTAAATAAGGACCAGGAGAAGTACTTGTCCAATCACGAAGGGAGAGAACTAGAAAACTCATCTAGCTAGCGCCGACACAAGCGCTCAGCTCGCACATGTTCCAAACTTTTCCAAGTCACTGACATGTTTCCTGCTGTCTGCCTTTTTATTTTTTAATAATTTTTAGTCTCCACGGCCACTGGTGATTTAGAAAGGTCAAAATATTTATATATATTTCTATATGTATATATAGTCTTCAAATACACATCAATTAAAAAATAATATTCAATGCACTAAAATGACTTGTATAGAATATCTAAAAGTTCATAAAATGGACAAAAGTAATAGTAAATCACTTGGCACTTTACATTATTTTAAACAATTTCTTCTAATATTTCAAGATGCAAAGTCATTGATACTATTGATATCAACCTCATCCAAACTATTTAATCTTTCTTGAGACATTGTTAGCCTCAAATAATTCTTCTATAATTTGAACTTCGAAAAGCTTCTTTTAGCTCACGGTAAATAAGATGCGGTAAGCGATTGAAATATTTGAATAGCAATCCACCTCTGTGTCATGTGTGCGCGATGATTTTGCTGCGTCGAGCGTCTGGCGGCCGCGCAGTTAGCGTTTAGGATTCACTTCGTCTTCCGAGCTCTGAATGGTAAGCGTTGAAGGCTAATAGGCCTTCCCAGACCTGCGCTTGCTGTACTGGGCCATAGGAGGCCACGTACTGACGTACGTTACTATGTAATACGTATATACCAATATATACTACTAATATACTAATACTAATGCACTATATGGGGTGACGCCTATTTAGACTACCCATAAGACTGTCCTCTCGTGTTGCCTCCAACGGAGCACCTATATGCTAGATCCATTTTGAGTTATAGCAAATGCACAATCTAAATATAAGTATTTTTTTCCTGGTATAGAAAGATTTTCCTTTTGGTTCCTTATTGTTGGACAAGATCAAAAATAAATACGGAACCCTTTACTTATAGCACTACCTAAACGTAAAATGAATCTTGTATTTTGTATAATGTTGTCGAAGATGGTCTCACGTAGCAAAATATCGATGCTTGGAATGGGAGAGAGAAGGTCGAAGCATCGATTGGCACATTGCAACTTGCGATGCTCAAACGAAATATGTCGGCATCGATGCAGGTTGGTTCCTCGATGCTTACTCCAATTGCATGCACGCACAGAAGAGAGGAAAGCCTGCTATCATTGTTTGTTTTTCTATTTTATGGGTCCATGTCGATGTTCACCACTGCAGCTTGCTCCATCGATGCTGAGTTACTGCGGTGGTTTCTGGAAATCGATGCTTACCACTGTGGTTAGATCTGAGACCTAGGGCGGTAGCACACCCAGCCCACCCCCAGGGCCGGCCCTGCCTGCAACCTTTTTTCTTACTATCAATCAATCTAAGCGCGTGTTTAGTTGCTACCTTAAAATCAAAAAAATGTTATAGTACCTATCACATCAAATCTTGTGATACCTAAAATCTAAAAAAAAAAAAACTAATTACAAGTTGAAAATCCATCAACGCTTTGAGCCTAATTAGTTCATGATTGAACACTATTTGTCGAAACGAGCGCTACTATTAAATGTAGATTCAAAACTAAGAGCATAATTTGTCAAATTTTACTTGCCAAATTTATGATTTGGAAATCCCAAAATTATATGACAAGTATAAAAACAATCCATCTCCAAGAGTTTGGCATTTTTGACGCGGTTTTAACAAAACGAAGAGCCCCGCTTAATTAGCCCATGATTGAACATACGCACAGCGTGCATATTTACGCAAAAATAAAATTTGCCAAGTTGCTATTGATGCCAAGTTGTTTTGCCAAATTGTTGGAGGTTATTTTTTCTTGTTTTGCCAAATTTCTAAATTCAGTGAACTAAACACGCTCTTAACAAGGATCCTGCCTTTGTCACTGTGCAGTGGAGCAGTGAACCAGCCTACAGATCCAAATCCATCCGGGCTGCAGCTGCAGGTGCGCAATAGTCAACCCCTTCTCGACGAAGAACAGACGCGGCGACGGCAGCAGCCAGCAGAAAAGCACCGTGGATTATTCCCTTGTATTTCTGAACACATCGATGCCAACTATTCAAGCAAGAGCACAACACTGTTTTCATGCATGTTTGTCTCCTCAGTACATGTGTGCACGCAACGCAAGCACGCAGTGTCGCAGTTAGGCATGCAATAATGCAACAGAACAAACCACGCGTGGTTCTCTTCTTGAACACACGAGTCAACAGTCGAGAGTGGGTACCGCGTGCCGTGCTGAAGAAATGAGTTGCCATACTGACCTCATGGGAATCATATCATATTAAGCGTGGGATGCTGTCTAGTTTATATAATGTTGATAAGGCAGAATAGTTCCTAGCTCCATTACAAGCTAACCGAATGGACCCTATCGAAACTTTCTTGAAAACCACATCTAACCCCGACATAAAGGTAATTTAATCGATTTTGGGAGCTCAAGATTAAAATGTCAAATTTTAAAGTTTGAAGAGGAACAATTCATCAGCAAGATAAAAGATAATATTCCAGTCTCGGCCAAGTCCGCCACGGCCCAAACCACCCTGCACCGCCACTGACCTGGCTCCTGGCCCTTTGCGCCGCAACACAAAACCCCGCGAGGGTTTCCACCGCCGTCGTGCCGCTCCCCTCGTTTCAATTCGAACAGCAAAAACCTCTTTACAGTGGTGGAACTCTCGCAAACGGCCGGAGCGCGGCTGCGGCGACGAGGGAACACATCCCTTCTCGGAGCATGGCCACCTCTACGGAGTAGAAGGGCGCACTGCCCACGGCTAAGGGGACTAAAGGAGAGGCCAACAGGAAGCAGACGATGGCAGACGCAACTTTATAGTATTGGGTGTGCAAAATATTTTTTTCCTTTTATTTTATTCATATAATTTATTATAAACAAACTTTTAATATCTATTAAATAAGACTCATACACACTTATATACATCTCTTATAATCATAAAACCCACTAGCTACGTATATCTTAACATTTAAGCTGTCCGCCTCAGCAATGCACTATCACATGTAATTAAAATTCACTAGCACATACAATTGTAATGTCCACGCCAGAAACACACACAAACATTTGTTTGTCCATGTCAACATGTCACACAATCCATTAATTCGCTATTTCTGTAGCAGCGTGCGGGGTATGCTTCTAGTAAACTCTAAAATAACTCACTTTTCTGACTTTTATTAACTCACTTGGGTGACTTGTATATATGGAATGAACACCCAAAACTATTGCTATTTATAGCCTTATGTTGGCAACCTTCTACACCTTTCTATATTCTTAAAAGGTCTCTCATGTTTATCTATTCCCTAGATATTTCTTATTATATAAAATATCTAGATCTAGAATATCCCATTCAGAATTTCGTTTGTGTTTATCTTTTTTTTTCTATATATTTCCAATACAAAATATCCATATACAAAGTATTCCATTGTTTGAAATACGATAATTATGTCTTATGCATACTCGTCATTTATCTAAAGTTTCTTATGTGGAAGTTACCTACTGTATTCCATAGGAGATTGGGAAGGCAAATGAGTCAGACCCCCAATATATTTTTTCTACTATGAGAACATTTCTTTCCTCTTAATAATATTGGTTTTTCTTTTTTTTAAGCAAATAATATTGGTTTTCCTACTTAAAACATTTAGTTGTTTTTAACTAAGAAAAAATATTCTACTGCTAGGGGATAAGTAAAAAATGTTCTACCTATAGAAAAAACAATTTGTTACATTAGGGAAACTAGTCTCATGTAAGAGTGGCAACATTCCTAGTTTTTCAATTATACATTATTGTTATTTTAATACTTTTTCTAAATGCATAATTGTTTTTATGGTCCAACTACATCTACTTCTATCCTGTTATGTCATTTTTTTCAACTTGTATATCTTTGTTTTTAGTTGGAGTTTTCCTCGCCAGCTTCATTTGTCGCCCCCTCGTGCGTTCTGTCGCCCCCTCTCGCTCTCCGACGACTGGTGGGCCGCCGCCGCCGCCAGGTGCTGAGGTCTTAGTTGGTCTCTTCGCCGGCGACGAGCACCCACCAGGTACTTCCACCCCTTCTCTTCCCTTCCCTTCAAGCTGAGCACCGAAACCCTAACCTAAAGCTATTAGCTAGTATTTGACAAGCCACACCAAACTTCGACGTTTTTGCAAAAAATATTGGGTGTACAGGTGTACACCCATGTCCCTTTATTGGATCCGCCCCTGGAAGCGGAGCAGCGAACAGGGAGAGGGAGGCCAGGGAGGCGCAGGTAACATCGGCGGCGGCGGCTGGCAGAAGCGGAATAAGAAGGAGGTCTTCATCTACGGCAACTATAAGAACTACTACGGCTACCGGGTGAGCGCGAAACCGCTTCCGTTTGTGCTTTTCCCTGGAACTGCTACTCTCCAATCAGTGTTCACGCGCGGTCGCCAGCTGTTCGACGATATGCCTCACGGTAGGTTCAGGTGTTCGTGGGGTTTAGGTATTTCGGTTCAATTGGGTTGTTTTGGATTGACCCATGACCCAGAGAAAGTTAAACTTACATCCCGAAGTGCGTGACTAGAGATGGTTCACGGGGATGAAAGCACTGGTACTGGCCTGTGGACTGAGTGTTGTTGGCCGGACTACTGTGCAGGGATGAGTAGATGAGCTCTTTTACATGTACCTCCTGACCTCAGATTTTCCAATATTTATTCCGTATAATAGCATTAGCATGCCTAATGACTAGTGGGCACGGATGAGTAGATGGAGCCCTTTTACATGTAACTTCTAACCTCGGATTTTCCAATATTTTATTCCGTAATAGCATGCCTAAATGCTATTAGGGTGGGAGGGGATTTAACATTTTCCAGCTGATATAAATTATAACTTCAATAATTCTACAGATTGACCGTAATGTTGGTGAAGATCCTCGCCTCGAGGCGTTCAAGAAGCAGTGGTTTGAAAACAAGGATTGTCTCGATATTGGATGCAACCAGGGTTTGGTAACGATTGGCTTAGGTAACCTTTTGATTTTGGGGTATAAACTCTTGATTTCATTCGCTACATTCTTATATAGCATGCTTATAGGTGCTATGTAGTTCTTGTAGACAAATGTCTCAATCCCCATGATGAGGTCATTAGGTTTCTCACGTTTGTTTTCTTAATCTTGTGCAGCCATGAAATTTAATTGTCGAAGCATTCTTGGAGTTGATATTGATTCAGGTTTTTAATTCCCCCCTAATAAACTCCTGTTGCGTGTCGAATCTCCTCTCATGTTCTGTCGTTGAATATTACTTGAATCGAATTCATTTTTATCTTTCCCTGTTAGGTTTGATCGAGACTGCTAGGTGGAACCTACGAAGGATAATGCCGTGAAAGCTCAGGAATTGTCAGATTCTCCTTCTCAGAGCTCTCCAGGAGAAGTGGCATCTGAGTTATCAAATGGGAACAGGCACCAAGATCTTTTTAAATTTGTCTATTTTCACAACAACAACAACAACAACAAAGTCTTTAAGTCCCAAACAAGTTGGGGTAGGCTAGAGTTGAAACCCAACAGAAACAGGTTCAGGCACGTGAATAGCTGTCTTCCAAGCATTCCTATCTAAGGCTAAGTCTTTGGGTATATTCCATCCTTTCAAGTCTCCTTTTATTGCCTCTACCCAAGTCAACTTCGGTCTTCCTCTGCCTCTCTTCACGTTACTATCCTGACTTAGGATTCTACTACGCACCGGTGCATCTGAAGGTCTCCGTTGCACATGTCCAAACCATCTCAACCGGTGTTGGACAAGCTTTTCTTCAATTAGGCGCTACCCCTAATCTCTCACGTATATCATCGTTCAACTCGATCCTTTCTTGTATGCCCGCAAATCCAACGCAACATCGCATTTCCGACACACTTAGCTGTTGAATATGTCGTCTTTTCGTAGGTCAACATTCTCGCACCATACAACATAGCAGTGTCTAATCGCCGTCCCTATAAAACTTGCCTTTTAGCTTCGTGGTACCCTTTTGTCACATAGGACACCGACGCTTGCCGCCACTTCATCCACCCCGCTTTGATTCTATGGCTAACATCTTCATCAATATCTTCATCCCTCTCGTAGCATTGATCCTAAACATCGAAAGGTATCCATCCTAGGCACTACTTGACCTTCCAAACTAACATCTTTCTCCTCCCGAGTAGTAGTGCCGAAGTCACATCTCATATACTCAGTTTTAGTTCTACTGAGTCTAAAACCTTTGGACTCCAAAGTCTCCCGCCATAACTCCAGTTTCTGATTCACTCCTGTCCGGCTTTCATCAACTAGCACTACATCGTCCACGAAAAGCATACACCAAGGGATGTCCCCTTGTATGTCCCTTGTGACCTCATCCATCACTAAAGCAAACAAATAAGGGCTCAAAGCTGACCCTTGATGTAGTCCTATCCTAATCGGGAAGTCATCCGTGTCTCCATCACTTGTTCGAACTCTAGTCACAACATTGTTGTACATGTCCTTAATGAGCCCGACGTACTTCGTTGGGACTTTATGTTTGTCCAAAGCCCACCACATAACATTCCTTGGTATTTTATCATAAGCCTTCTCCAAGTCAATAAAAACCATGTGTAGGTCCTTCTTCTTCTCCCTATACCGCTCCATAACTTGTCTTATTAAGAAAATGGCTTCCATGGTTGACCTTCCGGGCATGAAACCAAATTGGTTCATAGAGACCCGCGTTATTGTCTATTTTCGACGTGAAAATTTTGTAGAGAGTATGGATGGATGTTCAGAACAGTATGACACCATACTCTGGTAAGTTACAGATTAACGATAGTGATCTCTCAAGAATTGAAGTTTTCTTTGTACTGTTCTTTCCCACAGTGGCACTAGCTTATTTTTTTATTTTTTTTTATGATGTAGTTTGAGTGTGACAAAATGGATCCACCTGAACTGGGGTGATGATGGCCTAGTTACTTTGTTCGTGAAGATCTGGAGGCTTCTTAGACCGGTATCTATGCCTCTCTATTTGCTGGTCTTCTAAATTGCACATAGACGGTAAGGAAAATTACATATTTTTCCCATATGTAATTTTGCAGGGAGGTGTTTTTATCATGGAGCCTCAACCATGGAGTTCATATAAGAATAACAGATTAGTTTCAGAGGTTGGTTCTTTTTGTTCAGATTATGTGACCAGCTAACCCTTCTTGATATTTTTCTTTACACTGCATTGAAATGGGTAATGTTAGTTGTTTCTTAGAAGGAAGTTGTTTGTGAAAATCTTGCTGCACTTTCCATTAATTAGGCTAAATGTGACTCTTGACAAGCCTATGTTCTTAGCTGCTGCACTCTTGATCCTAACCTCAAGTGAACATACCATAAATGATCAAAATCCTCTGCCAAATTTAATACAAATTCTTGATTCTTTCATGTTGTAGACCTTTAAATTTCCCTGAGCGTGATAAACCTGCAATTCTTACTACCTTTTCCCTACCTGTTTTCAGGTTGCCAAAGAGAACTTCAACACCATCTGTATATACCCAGAGTCATTTCGGGAAATTCTTCTAGACAAGGTATTTTATTTTGGCTGCCAACTCAAAGTTTTGTTCTTGACCCTTTCAGCAGAATTTCAGTAAACAATGTGGTGTTTGTGCTGCCAGATTGGATTTAGGTCGGTAGAGTTGATTGCGGACAGATTGGTGGGTACCGTCAGTGGTTTCAACCGCCCAATAGAAGTTTACCACAAATGATGAAACTGGGTCAAGGATTGTGACATCCCTGCCCAAGTGCACACTCCCTGACCAAATGATTGTGTTGAGCTTTGAAATGCTCGCTGACTGACTGGGTACAAGTACAACAATGAAGGCCTTGCATTTGCAAAAGAGAGTATCAGATGTCAAAGGATCAAGATGGAAGAGTGGTGGTAGGATGTTGTGTTCTCTAGATGGAAGTGTTGGGAATTTTGTCAATGGTTTTGTTCTTGTATAAAAATGGATAATGGACACCGTACCCTGAAAGGGAAAAAGAGGCTTCCATGAATATCAATTTTGCCTGCTATGAACATCATGATTGCTCTTGCATATTGTTTGCTGCGTATATATGATCATGATTTTAGGGAATCAACCCCAGTCAGCATAGCTAAATAGTAAATACCAACCAGCATTTTACAGCATTCGGATGACAAAGCATCTCGAGTTAAGCAAACTTCCAAAAGAACACGTAATCCCACGCTCCCAGCTACAAAACAGAAACTCAACTAAAGACCGATCACACAGAGTTCTTGAAGCCCATCCATCTTGGACAGATCCAACCCTCCCAACTTGCATCTGAACACAGGAGCGCTTGAGGTTAGTTTTAGCGAGCGAAGAGTGTCGTACTTGCTTAATTCTTAATAATATAATAATTTCTTAATTTGAGCGAACGAAGTCAAATGAAAGAGTCTACTTGCTGGTTCTGGCAATGACAAATGCCTTGTGTGTGTGTGTGCGCGCGCAGTGGAAGTGTCTTCTTTACGATGGCTTCCTTAACGATGAACGCATATGGAAACCTAAACCAAAATAGATAGTGAGAGATCCAAAATTAACCTCCATACCTATACGGAAGACCTATTTTGGGTTGTCTGACAGGCACAATCTAAATATAGGTATCCTCTCTTCTGGAAACCCATTTGTAGAAATGATTCTCTTTTGGGTCCTGTTGTTGGTATTGAACCCTTTGTCTGTAGCGCTATCCAAATGACGAATAGGTCTTATATTTTAGGTGTTGTTGGAGATAGACTTATGTGCTGAAGGTTGCTGCTGCACCATCAGTACTTCAGTAGTTCAGTGCAGCTGAAGAGAATCCCCAGTTCACCGGTCACTTGTAGCTCAAGCTTAAGCTGGATGGACCCACTCCGAAAGGCATTAGATACATCATACATCCATCAGGGTCAGGGTGGATTTGGGGTGACTAATGTGAATGCCATGAGTTTAAGTCCCCTAGTTCTTATAGGGAGACAACCCACATGCGTGCATTGAAACAACACAGTACCAGTTTCAGAAATCCAGTTATTTATTTATTGACGTGTTCAAGAAACTGTTTTTTTTTAAGAAATGTTCAAGAAACTGTTCTTTCAAGGACGTGTTCAAGAAGCTGCAGACCAAATAATCAACCTCCTCATGTACTGTACATTTCGGCATTTGTTGTGTGCGCTTCCTGGCCGCCTCTGCATCGTCGCCGTTGGCTGATCGATTCGTTGTTGATCAAGGTTCAGAGTCCAGGAAGGGCTTCAGACGCCAGCAGCAATACCGCTCCGGTCCTCCGCCACGGCAGTGACGGCACCGCCCGCCGCGCGAGCCGCGCGGAGAAATCGCTCGACGGGCCGTGCGCGGTGCGCCGCGGCCCGCAGGTATGGGGTGCGTGCGCGCGTGGCGCTGGCCGGCCTCGCTCGTGCCGAAATCATGCCACGCACATCGCGTGATGTGATGGCCTGATGATGATGGATGGATGGGTACGCCGTACGCCACCGTGCATCTGCAGGCGAGGCCGCCGCACATACATCACGCTGCGCGGAGTACGCGCGCCACCGCACGTCTCGGTAGACTCGTACGCTGCTGTTGCCTTTGTTCGGATATGCTTATATGGGCTCAAGTTTCCTTTTGATGACGATAAAGACCGGGGTTCAATTTTCCTTCTCTAGCACAAGTTTTTATATATATTTTTAATAGTGTAAAACTAATAGAAATTCGGGGTGGATATTATGCTATATACATAGAGTTATTACAGGATCTGATTCGTGCATCGCCATAAATTAAATAAAATATTTATATAGTGTAAAATTAAACTATTTATTTCTGTTCCATGACAAAAAATAAATAAATAAAATATTTATATAGTGTAATAAAAGAAAACAAAAGTTGGGGATGTAGCTCAATTGGTAGAGCATTAAAAGTGCTTATTAAAGGTACGGGGTTTGATTCCTCGCATCTCCAACATTTTTTTTAAATATCTCTTTTGTATGACCAAAAAAATAAAAACATTAGGAATTTAGGAGAAACTATATATCTCTTTTGTATGACAGAAAAATAAAAACATTAGGAATTTAGGAGAAATGATATAGAAGTTGGAGATATAGCACAATTGGTAGAGCTTTATTCTATGCGTTACAACAAAAAGTATCTCTTTTGTATGACAAAAAAACATTAGGAGTTTAGGAGAAACTATATAGAAGTTGGAGATACAGCTCAATTGGTAGAGCTTTATTCTATGCGTTACAACAAAAATGATAAAAACATTTAGGGCTAACTATGTAGAAGTTGGGATGTAGCTTTCTCTCAGTAGAGTTTAATTCTAAAAATAAAAAACATTAGGAATTTAATTGGGAGAAACTATATAGAAGTTAGAGATATAGCTCAATTGGTAGAGCTTTTTATTTGCGTTACAACAACAAAAAGTATCACTTTTGTATGACAAAAAAAACATTAGGAATTTAGGAGAAACTATATAGAAGTTGGAGATATAGCTCAATTGATAGAGCTTTATTATACGCGTTACAACAAAAAATATAAAAACATTTAGGGCTAACTATATAGAAGTTGGGATGTAGCTTTCTCTCGTTAGAGTATAATTCTATGCATGTTCTTGCCGCTCCAACATAACTTTTTTTTTGGTCTCTCCATGTCAAAAATTACACAATTATTTACAGGTACTCTTCTTTATTTATCATTCACAACCGAAAAAATATATAATTATAGTGCAAATCTATACAAAAGTTTGTCAATGCCATGCCTTTTCTGGCTTACGCTGGACACGACAGTTCACGCTCAATGAGACAGTACCAAGGCTTTATTTATTTGAGCTTTTGGCTACTTTTAGACTACTAGTTTTTTTACTTCTCAAAAGCCAAACATCTCCCATAAACCAAAACACCATACAGCTTTTGGCTTCTTGGGTTTTTTTTGGCTTTTGAAAGGTCTAAAACCTTCTAGGAAGCCTAAACAAACAGCTATTAAACTATATATTCTCTCTCTCTTTGGAAAATGTAGTCACTTGTTTGTTTTGTTGTGCGCAGCTATGCCTCTTTAATAGCAGTCGTGGAGCCGCTCTGGAAGCAACTTCTGCACATGATGAACCAAATGTTCTATGGACGGGAACCGCACGCAAGAGACACCCCGTTCGCTTGTTGGTTTCAGCTAGGCTTATTCAACCAGCCAACAGTATTTTTCTCTTATAAAAAACCAGCACCAGCTAGTCCAAACCAGCACCAGCACCAACCAGCGAACACGCCGTATGTGTTTGTGAGCCCACCCCAAAATACTCTCCTCTGCGCAAGCCGACAGTGGTCGAGGCAGAGCGAGACATCGTGAAGGTGGAGCAATGGGAGATGCAGGCAAGCGTGTGCCGAGCGGGCCGAATACTACGCACCCTTAGTACATCTTCAAATAGTCTGATTTTCCAGCTCGGGATGTAGAATGGTCACATCGAGGTACTCGGTGATTAAAAAAGCACCACTGAACACAAACAATTAGCTTGGGAGACAGCCGTTGCCGGCCTCTTCTAGGCTCCTTCATGTCATTGCCGCCTAGGCTCTCTTCCTTCTTTTTCTCCACGTGAGTCTGTCGCTAGCGAGAAGAAGAGGGGATCCATCTCTCATTTACAATAGTCATTTAGATCTAGTTTGTTAAGGTTTAGTCTAAATAAATCTATCGGCAAAATGATATGATTTTTTTGGCTGGGAGATTGTTGCCTATGATGACTTCAGTGATGGCCACGACGAGATCACAGTTGCGGACATCGATTTCATCAGCGAGAGGCCAATTTGTAGCCATTATCTATAAGGAGAGAGAGAGAGAGATGCTTCTGGGCACTCCTCACGAGGACAAGTAACTCTAGGTTGTCGACCTCATCATCAACGATCGCGGAGAGAAAATCAATTATCCAATATGACAGATCAAGGATCGGAGGTGTTGAGCCTATGTTGTACTCGACGATTCAACCGCCGATGTTTTTTCATTGCTTCATAACGTTTTTTACTGGTTCAGCAGCATTAGATTTTGCAGAATGTTCAATGTTTTAGGATCTTAATTTTTTTAATATAAACATAAAACAGTTCATGGCTAATTTTTTTTAAACAAATTCATGGCTAATTTGATTCACGCATCGTTAGTGGCTCCCCTAATTCAATGATAGCTCCTTTGCCTATAGTTCATCTAGAGTATTGGTGTCAAAAGCCCCCCTTGGAACAAATAATTGCTGGAAAAAATTTATAGAATTGTAATCTTATAGGGATACTTCTTACCGTCCCATGTGTCCCTTTTTAAAAAAAGGAGTGATGAGCATATAAAAATCCTACAAAATTCCTATGGCTTAATCCATAGGAATCTTGGAAATCTAAGATGGGGTTCAACACTTGGAAAGTTTCGTTTGTGTATATTGTCTTGTCTTCTTTAATTCTTCACGTTTAGCATCTAAATGCTTCATTAGAAAGATACCTACCTTCCAAATTCCGCTAGCGCTAGGATTGCAATTGACAATTAGTTGAATCCTATTACTACTTTTGAGAGTCCTGGATTCAAATGGAGTCCGAAAAGTGACATGGCTTGCGCCTTGCAGGCCCAATGACAAGAAAAGCGTAAAAAAAATAATAAATACTAAGTGTAGCACACAGACTGAACTAATAAAAGAAACTGATCGTGTGAAACCACAAGGACGAATCCAACGCAAGAACTCATATCAGAGCAGTTAGGTACACGCAGTTTGCGACCGTGCAGTGCGGCGACCTCCTAGTGTCGTAGATGATACAACATCTTTTGGGTTCCAACTCTGAAGCCACAATATTGCAACCTTACTAATCATTCATCACATGGCATCTTATCCTTGCTTTTTCCTTCAGACATCAGCTAAAGCTCGCGGATTTCCAAAGGCAGGGAAAGCTAGAACTGGTGGTGCAAGGATTGGCGCTTTCACTCAATCAGGAGCACAAACATGATACAGGCATATAATTTCTCAATTTAATATTGCAATTTAATGCATATCTAAAAAATCATCAATACTGCACAAATGATGTGCCAGCAGCAATGACAGTGTATAGTACTTAAACAATTTGCTACCACATGCAAATGAATCAAGGGATAGCACACAGCACAATATCAATAACCGATATTAAATTGTTCAAACAAAAATCATGACACGTTTCCAACAGAATCCTGACAGGGATGACAAAAGCGGTTCTCTAATACAAAGCAAAAAAATTAATATCCGGCTTATCTTCATGCACTTTATTAGACAAAAGGACTATTCGCATGAAGATAACATCTGGTAGCCGCTGCACCTGCACCTGCACGCCCTCAAGGATCTCTGTCAGGAATGCAGCATCACAATCAATGAGGCCTTCCATGATATTGACCCCAAAACAAGCAGCAAGAAGCCCTTCAGCATCACAAAGAAGTACATGGAACTCATTTGAATTCCGCCATTTGAAAAGCATGTGGCATGTTGTTCCACGAGGAGGAATCGAGCACAATTCCATCACCAAGAACAGGTTTGTACTCGGCATTAATGCCATTGCCCAGGAGCATTGCTATGGCATTGTTGAAAATGGATGCATCAGCTGTGTTGTTCCCAGAGAATAATGCATCAGGCCTCAAGTTTTCAGGATGAGGTGAAGCTGCTGACTCATGTTTAGGCTCTAACTCCTGTCTCACCAGAGCCCATTGAAGGGCTTTGTGCTGCAAATGAATAAGCATCTAGTAACTGAACTAATCAAATCGATTATTGAAAGAAAGGGTCAGGGATGAAAATGTACTCACCAGGAGAAATTTTGGAGAACTGAAAGAAATCAGCTGATGCAGCACTAACAGGAGGAGTGGATTCGGTGAAAGAATTTCCACTAAAACGAGCATATTCACTGATGAAAGAACCGGGCTGTTCTTCCCAATATTCCTGGCCCATATCAAACTCTGGGCTAACCACCGTAGTAGTCTCACAAGGTGTGCCAGCAGAAGAACTTGAACTTCGGACCGATGGTTGTTGGTTCTTCCCAGATCTTAGTGCCTGAGCTTCATGAAGCAGCTCTTCCAAAAGACCACTGTTCCTCGGTGATGCACACTCAGATTTCACTGAAGGGGTCGCTGATGGAGACTGCAGGTAAGGATCTACTAACTCAGTAGGCTGCATTGCAGGAGCCACAGTATACTTGAGCCAGCTATTTGGATCAGATTCAGTATCTTGGAGTGAAGGGAGCTCCATCTTCAAAGGACCATTTATGGGCCTAGAAGCAGAGAAGTTGCCATTTAAAAAGGCATGGCTGCCAGTAAGTGCAACCCCGAAAGGTGCAATACTCTTGCTGCTAGCATTGGCTTCATTAAGATAATCAAAACCTAAAGCTTGCTTGAGCTTCTCAGAGTCATTTGAAAATTGATCAACTGAGGAAAGTACACCGTCAATGGCATCGCTCAATGCAGGAAGCACACAGCTAGATTGTTTCAGCATCCCTGCTTGGTCTACCTGATCCATGAAGCTACAGTTTTTTGATGCAAAGCTTTGGCCGAGCAAATTGCTTATTGAAACAGCTGACAGCTGTGGTGCATAGGATAAAGCCTCTGGATTAGCAATGAAATTGTCACTGGTAAAATCTGGTAGATAAAGGCTGTTCCCAGATAGAAGATCATTGGATATGTTCTCGCCACCGTTAAAATCACCAGACACTTGCTGATCTTCATTTGAAGATTGATTGCATACACTAGCAGGATAGATAGGAAGGCTAGCTCGTTGACATCTCTTTATTCGAGTGTTCCAGTAGTTCTTAATTTCATTGTCAGTACGCCCTGGCAACTGAGAAGAGCATTCAAGGTTAATGACGACAGTATAGAAAAATATATGCACAAATTGTTAAGGGTAAAAATAGGAACTAACTACAAACATATGCACACATGTAAGGCATATTAAACATTTCAAAACATAGTAGCATATTTTCCAATTGAAGACACTGGGGCCTGGCCGTAACTTTCAATGTAAGGCATATGGGTAAATATTAGCTTTATAAGGTCTAGAGATTGTAAATAAAAAAGATTGTTGAAATTCAAGGAAAAAAGGTACCAAGGCTAACATGCCTATAATATGACTACCATTAATGTCTTTATCCATAAAAGAGTAACAATGACAAGTCATATGGAGTTGAAAGCCAAAGCTAAAAAAATATTCGAAAGTGATCATTGCTTGGTATCACAGATCAGGAGTGATACTAGAAAATTAGCACTTGTGGACCCGAATCTTTGATACCAGGAGGATTTTAGCAGGTTGCGACAGGAAAGTCAGCAAACCTAAATTTTGAGCCACAAGATTGGTATGTATTGAATTAAAGTAGAAAACCATATAAGTTACTGCAACATGGACGGATCATTACAGCTCCAGTACGTGACACCAAACAGAATAATTCGCTAAATAACTACACAAATACACATCCTGAATTAAAGACTGCACGTATACGTAATAAAGACCCAACGAACACATCAATTCTCACTGGAAACTTCACCTGATCAGACCGCAGAGCAGGGAATCAAGTATTCGACATGTGCAGACTGAAATACGAAATACGGATGTGCAGAAGTGCAGAACAGGGAATCAAGTATTCGGCATGGCACTTACATGAGCAGCCATCCTCGCCCACTTGTTCCCCATCTTGGCGTGGAGCTGGATGATGAGGCGCTCCTCCTCCGGGGTGAAGGCCCCCTTCTTGAGGTTGGGCCTGAGGTGGTTCGCCCAGCGGAGGCGGCAGCTCTTGCCGCAGCGGAACAGCCCGGTGTTCTTCTGCACCGCGTTCCAGTTCCCTTCGCCGTGCTTCTTGACGTAGTCCACCAGGATGGCGTCCTCCGCGGACGTCCAGGGCCCTTTCTTCAGGGGCGGCCCGGCGCCCCTGTGAGGGTGAAGCGACCCGCCTCCGCTGCTGACGTCGTCGGCCACCGGCGAGTCCATCTGGTCCTGCAGCAGCATCTCGCAGTCGCCCTCGCCCTCGCCCTCGCCCTCGCTCTTCACCCGGTACATCGCGCGCTGTCAGGGTATGCACGGAACAGAGGAGTGGAAGTAGTATTAGATTACCACTTGGATTTATATTCAAGATAAGCATGAAAGGAGCATTATTAGTAGATGGAAATCACCAATTTCCCTAATCCAGCAGAACGAAAAAGGAAACAAGGACTTAATCAACGGCTAAACTAGACTATGGAGCACTTCAGCTTAAAAGAACTCCAACCAAGTAGGGTGGTATCACTATCAGTCTATCACCCACAGTTTACACGAGATTTCGGGTAAAGGCGAGAGGGAAAAGGTGGGTTCCGTCTCCCATAATTCACACAGATCAAGGCAGAATTGGGACGGAGAAGGACGAGGAGGCCAAAATTCAGCACTTCACCGCCCCTCAAATCACTACCCGGACGCCGAAAACAAATCGGAATTCAGCAAGGACACTAGGACAGGGTCTACCTGGCGGAATCTCGCAGCAGCCGGTGCCGATCGAGCCCAGGGTGGAGCCTAGCTGAGCTCCTCCAATGGACTCCTCCTCTGCTGTTGTGAGCTGACCAGCGGATTGCAGGGAAGGAGTCGACTGGGGTGGAGCAGAGCAGAGGAGTGGAAACCGGGGGAGGAGGGGGATCTCGCCTAAGCGAGATGCCACCACCACTTAGCACCAGAGTATGTGGAGAACTTTCAGGTCAGGGAGAGAGTTTTGAGGAGGAAGAGAGAGGAGGAGGAGGAGGAGGAGGAGGAGGAGGAGGACTGGAGAGAGAGTGTGGGCGAGCCTGGCTGTGGCCTGTGGGATTTGCTTGGGAGGCAGATTATAAAGCTGATGAAAGGTACAGCGCCAGAGAAGCCATGCTATTGGGCGTGGGCGCATGGGCACCTATTTTTCTCTCTCTACTACTAGGCCCCCTATTTTCTTTTTTAAAAAAATTTCTTATCTCTTTTATTTATTCATTTTTATTTTCTTCTTTTTGTTCATGTCTCGTGCTTCTCAGAATCAGAGGCTGAATGACCAAAAGAAAATCAAAGAAACCCATATATAGGTCATAGATAGGCTCCCATAGCGTTATCCTACATTTCGGAGCTACAAACTTTTCGTGGAAAGTTTCCATGATACTCCTCCCAATTTTCTGCGTTTGTAGTCTTGCTATTGTTAATACAGACCAAAACTCTGGAATTCCTTGCTATTGCTAATAGAGACCAAATTGTTATACCAGCTACAACTCCGGAACTGGTATATCTCTACATGTCTTCCTTTGGAAAAACTCGCAATGAATTTGTGTGAGGTCTTTGGGTTTGCTTAGGATTTACCCAGTTGCTAAAAGAAATAGTGGGGTGGCATTTATGGAATCCCCTTTTTATGTGCGCACGCAGCAGAACCTAGATGAAATGATGAATATACCTTGTGAATGAGTGAGAAGATACCTCCAATTCCAATTAAACGCCCAAAGTAAACTCCAATTTGCTCAAAGCAAAGGGAGGCCTTTATGCCAAATCTAGAGAATTTTTTCCTTTCATAGTAGTGAATACCTTTCTCGCTTACTGCTTATACCCTCAAGTCCATTCTGCCATTGCTTTCCCCGTAGCTAGTGTGGCCCTTTCCTTTCCCTTTTCCTTTGAAACTAAACTAGAGCACGTATGTATGTATTAGGTAGAATATGAACTCCCACAATCAATCAAATGGGATGAACAAAAGCAAGCTCGATCCTAGGTTCATAGCTTGGTTCCGGCCAAATCACAGCAATCACATTTCTCGTGACGACCACTAATCTAGCGGAGAAAGAACGCACCAACGAGTCACGGCGACGGACGATCTCGCTCGTCACTTCACTTCCTCTCTGAAAAGAATAGTAATACGCGGCAGTTCTTGCGGACGACAAGTCAACCATTGCATGCACGCATGCTCGCTACAGGCAGCGTGCGAGTCGGACTCCGACCACGAGAAGCGCCGCCCTCGATTGCCAAATCTGCGACGAATGCTGCAAAAGGAGAGAAGGCGCAGGCAGGCAATGCAAATCCCCTGCCGTATTTTTGTTTCGCGTAGGCGTAGTACATGGGTTGCTTCTGGGGCAAAAGCACCGTCGTGTCCGTCGCTGCTCCAATCCGGCTCTCTGCGTACACATGTACACATGGGTGGACGAAGGGAACAGCCGGCCGGGCCGGTGTCTGGTGGGTGATGGAGGCGCCGCTGCTAATTCGGGGGGGCGCACGTGGTGAGGAGATCGGGGGCTCATCCCTGCGTGTCAGGCCCGGCGTACGTATCTCCCTTTTTTTAGGAGAATAGTACGTATCTCCCTGCTTATACAGCCTGTTCGGATGTGGCTGGACTGAAACGATCGTATACGATCGTGGATTATTATTGCTGACTGATTTGGTGTGAGAAAAAAATATTATTCTGGCTAAAAATTTACTATCATTTACGATCAAGCGAACAGACTGATAGTTCTTCTGCAACAAAAGACCCTTTGTCTAGGCCTGATTAGTAGTGGTACGGCATAAAATAGACATTGGCTAGGATCCACCCATGCTTAGACCCTTAGGCCTCGTTTGTATAAGCATATATTTATCTCAATCCATGTGTTAAAGTAGATTGGAGTGAAATTAAACTAAATTTTATTTTAGTCCACTCCGATACATATGGATTGAAGTAGATACACATGTATCCAAACAAGACCTTACATGTTGTCCAATATTTTCGTTCTTCCTATGTCATATATAGTAACACACCGTTACATTTTGGACAGCAAAATGAGCCAAGTACTAACATGTTCATTGATTTTGTTGGTGTAATAAAACCGCTGCCTATAGCGGTTTAAAAATGAGCCAATTCATGGCAAAGTGAGCCAACTCATGACATTTTAGGAAAATGTAATTAGTTTAAAAAAACTTTAATTATCAAAAGAATGGCATATGTTTAAAAATAGAGGCAAGTAGTTTTTATATATATACGAATGCATATGTTTTTGTCGGGAAATAGAACTAGCCACTAGCCTGGCCTATAGCAGGAAAAGAGAAGTAAATAACCATCCTATTTGGCTCGTTCTGGATCCGCCATTGGCGGCAAAAGAGTTTGTATTCAATTTATGCAAGGCGTTAAACTTATGGCACACTTGCGTGCGCGCGCACAACACGCTTAACCTGTTATTAGTAACAGTGGACAAAATTCATTTTTGTATACTAACATGTTTGTTGATTTTGTTGGAATACACTACTACATAAATGATTTTGAAAGACGGTGTCCAAACATTAACGGAGACGGGTACAAAATTCAACCGCCTCCTAAAATGCTAGGCTATTAACGAAAGTGGTCACTTTTATTTACCGAGGCGCTCATGTTTGCCCGCCTCCTAAAATCAATTTATGGAGACGGTCAAAATTCAATCGCCTCCTAAAATAGATTTACGGAGGCGGGCGTCTAAAGACAGCCGCCTCCGAAAATAATCTATTTACGAAGGCGGACGACTTAAGAGGTCCGCCTCCGTGAATCTATTTTCGGAGGCGGACAGTTTATGAGGCCCGTCTCTATTAATAGACTAGGCCTGTTACCAGCTTGTTCGGCCCATCTCGGCCCAATATCGGGCTCCATAGTATATATACCGCAGGTTAGGATTTCATTCTCACCCTCTCTCTCAGACTCGCTCTCTCTCTCTCTCTCTCTCTCTTTTACACACACACACACCGACCGACGGCGCCTCCATCTCTCCGTGCCCTCCCGCACTCCCTCCCTCTCTCAGCCGTTGTGGTAGAACCGCCCGAAATAACACGCTTCCGGAGGCGCTCGTCTTCCACTAGACACTAAGCACCCCGAAAGTTAACTACATCGGACGGTTCCGTCGAGCACACCTCAAGGGAGAACTCGAACAATCCACGTTTTTCACCCAGAATCCAATAATGAGAACAAGTTTACAATACTTAATCCATTTTATACAATAAGAGTTCTCGGAAATACATTATTACAATACCAAGTTCAGAGTGCGGAATTTAAACAGCGGAATTGAAATAAACATCTAACGACAAGATACAAGGATCCATCTATACCCATCAGAAGAATCCTCCACACAATAGCCACTCCTCAAGCTATACCTGCAACAGGGGTAAATAAACCCTGAATACACAATATACTCGCAAGACTTACCCGACTAGTGGGAATAATTTCCTGACTCCAAAGGATATGATAAGCTTTATGGTTTGTTGGATTTTCTTTTTGCGAAAAGCATTACTAGTAGTGAATCCTTATATAGGTGTTTTATTAGCAGTCATGATTAGTTCATTAGCTAACAATTCTATGTAAGCACCTATTCTACTTTTAAGCAAGAGTTGAGCAATCAGATCCATTCATCCCCTTTTATCTTCCGGTTCTTACTACGATGCTAGATCGTAGCCAAGCCGTACCGTATCACACGGCGATTCGCGAACCAATGTATCCCAATTGAGTACCCCGAAACATACGCCCAGGCACAAGCAAGACCAACCCACCACTCTCCTGTCAAGGGGTCCAGGTCTCCGTCCAAACTTGGACTCCAAGCCCCCACTCCTGAGTCATGGACTCAGTGGTGCTTAGACCTCCACCATCCCCGCCTCCAATCAGTCAGTACGGAAAGAGTCAGAACCCACGATAAGAGAGCAAGAGCCTTTCCGCTCCCATAAGCAAGTATGTGCACAGGATAATAAGTCTGTGATCTAACTAGAATCCACAGCAACGGACGGTCCTTAACCGATATGGACAGGGAAAACAGTGTAACCAAACTTTACCCCATTGACCGTAGGACACAACCTATTACACCCACCAATACCGTACCATATCCCTACCCGGCCTCTATTTTCTTTCACCATTTTATCATGAGAGTAATAATAATCACATATTGTGAGTAACGGCAGGTTACTCACGCTACCGATGGCCTAAGCATAGCAGCTATTCGACCTATGCTAGTATGACTCATGAGTAGGTTTATCTATGCATGTAGTTTCAATATAAATCCTGTAACGTAAATGCACATCACATATATATATCCAGTGATTATTTAAAA